CACACACACACACACACACACACACACACACACACACACACACACACTCACTCACTCCGTAAACACTGAGCTTGCTTCCCCCCAGCTCTACAGAGCACACCCCTGGAGGCCTGTGGGTGGGCATGCTAAAGGCTGTGGGGGTGGACGGCTTATTTGAAAGCCCTTTCCCACCCAACCCCTGGGCCCCTGGGCTTCCTTCCAAAGCTAAAGCTAGGTCCCTGGGAGAAGCAGTCTCTTTCCTCAGCTTTGCTCCTGAGGCTACTCCAGTCGGACTCCCATTCTGGCTTGGGCAGCCTTGACATTGGCAGGCACCTTGGCTCTACCACAACCTTCCTCTGAGCCCAGGAATAAGAGACTATGTGTTCCCTTCCTAGCTCCCCAAAGCTTCCCTGTGATAGGAATAAAGTGGGCTGGAGTAGAGCTGGAGGCAGCCACCCTGGCAGGAAGGGTGTGCTCCAGGCACTAAGAATAACCAAGGCTTCCAGGCAGCATAGGCCACCTGAGCCTGTGGCAGGCTGAGGGTGTTTCAGGCTACTTCCTAGAGCCTCAGGACATGAGTGCCCTCCCTGCACACAGACTCTTAAGCCTAAATACACTCTCTGTCTCTGGATCTCTGGCAGGCGCCACCCTCCACCCACTGGTCACACCAGTCTTTTATTTGACCACTGAGCTACTGACCACTGAGCTACCCAGCGACACATTTCTGTGTGGCGCCAGGAAAGCTGAGTGACTCCAGCAGTTCTGAGCATCCAGGCTATGCTGTAGGTCCCAGCTGGGCCACGCCAACCCCCTGCCAGGTCTCCAGTCTAGCTTTAATCAGGATGCTAAGCCCAAGTAGGGTAGGTGGCATCTTCCTGCCCAGACCTTTCAGAACACTGGGCAGATGCTAACTCCCTGCTATCTTTTCCACACTGGATCTACAGTTGTGTCCTGGCCACCCAGCGTATCCTCCAAATGATGCCATTCCCCAAGAGCAGGAATTGAACATGTGCTCCCTCTCACACTGTCCTGCCCCCAGTACTGAGGCCTTTCCTTTGGGACCTATGCTGTGGGAAAGCTTGGGGACTTCCCAACCGTCTCCTGCCAGGCCTCACTTCCTTCACCTCAGGTCTGCCACCCCCAGGAGGCCTCTTAGACTCTGAGACACATTAAGTGGTTACTAGCTGTACCACTTCTTAGGCTCGAGGCAGAGAACTCCCAAACTGGTGTCCCTGCATGGTTCCCCAGGTTTGGGCCAGCACTCAGACTTTCAAGAGCCTCTAAGCAACTGCTGAGGTATGGAATCCCTGTATCCCTGGAGTAGGCTAGGTAGCCCAGCTCCTTCAGCTGTGCAGCCAGGTCTCAGGAGGTCCAGTAAGGCAAAGGGGCCTGGGACACAGAGAGACAGCACCTGAAGACTTGTGACAAAGGTAGAAACTGAGGTCCAGAAAGAGACAGCCTATCTGCAGAAAGGCTGACCTGGAGTGCCTATGAGGGCTCTCTGAGGTGCGCCTAACAGTCCTGAGCTCTACGCTGTAGAGTGCCTGGATGCACAAGGCCAGGTAGAAGGCCCTGCAGCTTACAGCTTTGCCTCCCTGACTAACCAGCTCAGCCTCGCCCCCACAAGCTGCCAGGCTGCACGGGCAGAGAGAGGAGGAAGGGCTCAGTCTTCATGTTTACAACTGTCCCTTCAACTCAGCAGATACCTACCGTGTGAGGCACCTGTACCCTTACATCAGCACTGTCCAGTGGGGAGTGGCTGCCCTCCCGGGCTCTCCTCTCAGTGGCATCAGGACCTTCCTGGTACTTCCTGCTCCTCATGGGGAGAGGGAGTGAGTCCCTGCCAGGGCCTCTCCAGTCCCCTGCATGGTGGGTGTCTCCATTCTGCTCCTGGAGAGGGAAAGGCAGGTTGGACATGGACCAGGGCAATTTAAAACCAAAGTGCCCCCTCAGCAGTTGGTCCAGTTGCCCCAACTTCGTGTATGCACACAGTAGGCACCCGGCCTCTGAAGGAAGAAACAGAAAGTAGAGAGGGCACAAAACAAGGCAAGACCGACATTTGAGCAGTGCCAACTTCCTTAAATGTCATCCTTCTAGTGCTAGGCAACATAGGTGACCATAAGTGTCCCTGACCTTGAACTCATGTTGTGTTCCAAAGACTATTTATCAGAGAAGCAAGGCTACTGCCTAGGGCCATGTAGTGCCCACACCAGTTCCCCTCGGGTTGGGAGTTTTCTTCTCCAACAATAACAGCTGTTCTCCCCTCAGACAGAGCCCAGGAGCACAGGGTAAACAGAAACCCAGGACATGCTCCCAGGAGGAGGTTCACACAAGAGGGTACAATCAGAGCACCTCAAGGGGGAACAGTGACAAACGGGCTCCTGGAGGGCCTCAGGCTGCTGGGAACATTTATCTCCCGGGTGACGGGGCCCAAAGAGGGTGCTGACAGCAAATACTGCACACTGGGCTCATTAACCTAGAGGCCACATGTTATGTGTCTGCTGCCGTCTGTTCCTCAGTTCCTAGGTCACCCGCCCTGACCCGCAGCTCACCCGGTCCAGGGGGAGCCGCAGCAGGTCCCAGGTCTCAGCGCTCAGCCTCTGTGTCCTTTTGGGTCTAGCTCCTGGAAGAGATCACAGTCCATCAGCCTAGTGCTGGCCAAGCAAGGGACCTGGGAGAACCACCCAACAGCACTACATCCCAAGGACAGTTCACATTCCCCTCTTATGAAGGGAAATCCAGTGTCTGTCTGAGTGCCCACTGAGGTCCCTAACAAGCTTGTCCGAGCTCTGGGCACCGGACAAGCCAGGCAAGGCTTAAGGACAGATCTGACCCGGAGAAGGGTAGAGCTAGCTTTGGTGTCATGTCCCCCCTCCCCTGCCAGGCACTAATGGGATTCTCTGCCAAGCCATGCCCTGTGCTTCCCACTGACTTAACTGACACCATTCCCTCTGCCCAGAAGTCAGCCATAACGTCCCCTCCATGTAAACACATGATCTCCCCAATCCTACTTCGTAAATCCAAATGAGGATGGGGTAGGGAAGAACATTTGGGTTCCTGGGCTCACTGTGGACCACCTAAGCTGGAGTAACAATGTCATGGCTCAGCTCAGTCCTGCTGCAGAGGACTCTAGACACCGAACTTGGTGTGGGCCTGGCCTGGCAGATGATTTGAACTAAGCCCTGGGCTCTCACAGGAGACTTGTTGACATCCCCCAGACCCACAAACACAGTTGTGTGGGCTGCCACCAGCCCCAGGGATCCATGACCTTCATTTCTAGGTAGACTGGGGAGCAATTCCACCCTGGTCCTCAGGTCTCCAAGTCCTTTCCCAGCACAGGCAGTGAGGGGCAGGAGACTGGGGAAGTGAGCCTGGCTTGAGCAGCTGCTTTGACCACCCAGGGCCCAGGCCCTGGGAGAGTCAGCCAGGCACTCTGAACCCATAGCAGAACCAGGTCAGCTAAGCCACAAATGGACAATTCAGGATGGACCCAAGATGTGAAGAGACAATACAAGGGGAACCCTTGGGGGAGAGCCAGTGTTGGCCCCAGTCCCTGAGGAGGTGGCTTGAGACAGGAGTAGAGAGTGGAGTATGCCTCATAATTTGAAGACCCAGCCTCTTCCCTTCCTCGAATCACCAGTTCTCCAAGGAACTGCTGGCCTGCCACAGAGCAGGACCTTATTTAACAGCCCCACACATCCGCACTTGTTCAACCCCCTCATCGGGCCTCCAGTCCCCAGACAGGTGCTAGACAGCTAGTGCTCAGAAGCATATCATACAGTGTCTACATATTCAGGGCGGGGCGTGTAAGGCAAAGAGGTGCAGTGAGGAGCGCAAGCCAATGCTGGCAAACACAGGCTTGATGCTGGCATTGCCCTACAGGGCTCACCCCCTAGGAGTATAGGACAGGTAGGGAGAACTGCCAATACCCTCTGACCTATCCACTGTTGCATTATGGGACAAAGTGACCAGCACTGCACTCCTGAGAGCAGCAAATTCAAAGTCATCCTTGGCTACATGGTTAGTCTGAGACCATCCTGGGCCACATTCTCAAAAATAAAAATGATGGGAGAGAAATGAGGATTAGTGCATGGCACACCCTGGCCTCTAGCATGGTCCCATGGATCTTTAGCCTCATGGCTCTAGACCAGCCCTAAGTGAAAATAATACAGAACATCAAATATGCAGTGAGACAGGGAAGGCCGATCAGAAGGGGGACATGGGACTCCATCTCCTGTCCAAGCTGGGACTTTGGAGAAAGCCTTGTGTCCTGCTCTCAGGTAGCTCAGAAAAAAAAAAAATCCTAGTAGGAGAAGCCACCTAGAGGGATGTTACTGTGGAGGGGCCCAATAGGGAGCCCACAAACTAATCCCCTCCTCGACAGGTGTGGATCTGAGCACCCAGGAGGGCTCTGCCTACTGTCTCTCCTGCCCTCCTCACAAGCTCCCCATAGCCACAATCAGCCCCTGCTCATTTAGGTGCAGCTGCAGCAGCCGTGAGCCACAGGCTGCTGGGTGCCCACTCCATGCCCTGACTAGGAGAGAAGCTCTGAGGAAGAATCCCTGAAGACACACAAAGCATGAAGACAGCTTTTGGGTCCCCCACATGTACTAACAACTATCAGGATGAGTCCTGTGGAGAGCAGAGAGGGTCCTCCATGGTAGCGCTGTACTGGACCCAAGCTCTGGCAGAAACCAAGCAATCCTTCTGAACCACAGCCCACATCTGGCTCAGAGAGGACACCTCCTTGTGCACAGACAGGGCGGGAGGCCCTCTGGGCCCAGCTAAATGAATCCTCTGTCTTGAGTCAAAACAGTCAGGGCAGTACAGTGCAAATGGCCATACCTCCTTGGCTGAGCCATGTTCACTGTTGCCTAGGACCCTGATCCTTCTCCTTCAGCTTCCTGCCCATCCTAAATATGGTCAATATCTAGAAACTTCTCTCTTATGCCTACCCAAGGTGGACAGTCACTGTCTTGTGAAGGCTCCTGACCTCTGTATCATGAATGTTCCTTGTCCCAGCCCTCCCTCCAATGGAAAGCATCCATCCCCAGTCCATGATGGCTCCTACTGGTAGTTTTACCTCCAGGGATCTAGAAACTGGCCTTTTTCTTCCAGGGGACCTGTGTCAGTTCCTCACCTGTCCCTTTAGTCCCTTCTCCATGCCAGGAACACAGTGAGCCCCTGACTAGACCTGCTTCCCTCTACTGGTCTGCAAGTCCGCAAGGTCCTCCCTGTGGCCCCAACAGCTACAGACACAACTGTACAGCAGGCTCAGCACTCAGCCCATTTGTCCACTGTCACTCAGCACTACTAGCCAGCCTACCTCCAGATGAGACACTGAAGCATGGGGACTATGGCAGAGAGCCAGGGCTGGAGCCCACAGCCTACCATGCCCCTCAGACACCACACACCAAGCATATCCTTGATCCAGAAGTGGAGAAGGACCTCCAGGGTATTTCCCATAGGACTTCAGAGAGCTGCCCAGTGCTGATGCCACAGTGCTGGTCCCAGAGGATGAGAGGGGTGTGACCCAGGCCCAGCAAGTTTGGCAGGGATAAACAGAGCTAGCTTCTCTTCTCCCTTGCATGCACACCAGAAGGGCACACAGAAACTCTGCCTATATGCATCCCATATCGCTGCACTCTGGTTGGCATGGACTGCATATCCAAGTGTGTTATAAGCATCTCTAATGTCTACCCAACCAGAGGGACTGGGCAGAGGAAGCAGCTGGCAGGGTAGTGCCCCACCGACTTGGTCACAGTCTGGGCTGCTGTGTTGTTGGCTTAGAAGGCGCCACCAAGGGGAGGTAAGGCCTCAGGGAATCAGGATTCTATATTCCTGCACAAGAGGCCCTTGTTTATACCAATCAAGTCAGGAGAAAGAAAAAATAAAAACAGAGCCTTTGTCCTGCCTCAAACCCACTGGCCACCATCACACCTACAATGCCCACCATGCTCAAGCACTACTCATCTCAAAACACCCACCACTCACTGCCTAAAGCCCACATGCATGTCTCTCCCCATTGCCTACTCAAATCATTCCCACTCTTTCAAGCCATCAATGAGTGCCTTGTCTTACAGCCCCACAGGCCACACTCACATGTAAATACCATACCAGACTGAGCCCAACAACTGAAGGCTACAACCCCTGTGACTTTCCTCAGGCCAGGCAGAATAAATTCCCTAGCCCCAGGAGACCATCCATCTGCAGCCCTCCTGACTGTGTCCTTTGGTGTGCCCACCTAGGCCCCTGCTCCAGAACCACTCAGACTGACTCTGGGTATGCCCCTGACTAGCTCCTAGACAGTTTACAGGAGGCAGGGCTGGCCTTTCTCAAGTGCCTCAGCTAAGTCGAGCTCTCTCCTGGCTTCCTGACCCTGCCCATTCCTGGCTCACCTGAGTAGGGGTCGCTCGCCGGACCACCCAGACTCTCACAGTGCCGGCCTGTCTTCAACAGCTGCATCCCAGGACTTGGTACCAGATCCCTCTCCCTGATGTCCTCCTTGGAGAAGAGACTTCTCCAGCATCCAGGGCCCAACCACTGGCCACAAGTAGCTCTATAGGGAGGAGGCTTCCAGGGGCCCCAGCTGGGAAGGGTCTGGCATGCAGGGCAGAGCAGAGCAGCCAATGTGGGAAGGACAGAGCTGCCTTGTCCCAGGCCATTCACTTGTGACTTGCCCCCCTTTTCATTAGCTTGGAGGAAGAAAGAGTCAGGATGAGGAGCTGGCTGCCTCTGTGGGAATCTTTCCAGAGGCTGGCCACAGGCTCTGGGCTGTGCTAGGAGCTTTGTAGAGATCTGTCTACTCTGGGAAAACGGCAGCCAGGGGCTCACACTGTGTAATCCCATCCTACCCATTAGCCACTGCATTTCTTGCCGCACAGTGGTGGAAGGCCCAGAAGCCTTTGCTCCTCTCCTGTCCCCAGCCTTATTTTACAGGCCAGGGCACACTGAGAAATTCCAGGCTCGGGGCACCAGGGGCTCTCATCATAGCAAGTATCCCTTTTGGATGGCCAGAGAGGCTGGAGTCAGCAGGTGTCCCCTGGGGAAAGACTCAGGAGGAGATGGGGGCTCCATTCCTGGCACTCTCAAGAAGCAGGGGACAGCTGGTTACTTGCTGAGGCTTGCCTCTTTCCTGAGGCCCCATGGGTCTCAAGAAGCCAACTCAGCAGGGCACTCTGCATCCACCCAGCCCCGCCTTTGTGCATATTAATGTATTTGTTTTGTGGGGAACATTCCGTCCTTTCATTCACTGTGTCTGTTCTGCATGGGACAATCATCAGTCTGAATGAGGTCACTGAAGTGGCTTTGCTTGATTAGTGCTCCAGCCAGGCACTGGCCCACTCCCGCCAGCGTCCCAACAAGCCCCTCCTATAGATATGATGATGGACATTCTGGTGCTGGGCTGCTTAGGAAGGAGCTATTTCCTGTCTTCTTGCCATCAGCCCTGTGGTGGAGAGGCTCTAGATGACCACAGATCCTCGCTCCCTCAGGGACAGTGCAGAACTGGCCACCATCCCTCTGCCGTTGGTATTCCTGGCTACGTCATTCTGGCCCTACTTCTTTCAGTTGCCCCTTGAGGTGACCTACAGGAGAATAGTCCTCATAGACTCATGCTTGTATCCTTGGTCCCCAGAGAGTGAGACTGTTTAGGAAGGATTAGGAGGTGTAGCCTTTTTTGAGGAGGTGTGTTACTGGAAATTTTGAGGTTTCAAAAGCCCATGCCAAGCCCATTTTCTCTCTCTCTGCCTGCAACTTTTGAATCAGATGTGCTTCCTCAGTACCATCCCTGCCTGCTGGCCACATACTCTCCACCATGATGATAATGGGATAATGGAGTAAGCCACTGAAACTGTAGGTGAGCTCCCAATTATATGTTTGTTTGTTTGTTTTTGTTTTGTTTTGTTTTTCATAAGAGTTGCCTTGGTATCCCTTCACAGCAATAGAGCAGTAACTAAAACACCTCTGATCCCTGATTTGCCCCAGAACTCTGGATACCCTATCTTTCCCACATCATACTGGAATGCAGTTCTGTGTCTACCTGACTCTCTACTCCCACTGTGAGCTCCCCTGGGCAGTGGGCGGTGTGGTCTCTCCTGGGCTCAAGACAAGGGTGAGAAGAGTAGGTGCCCAGATAGGGTACAGCCTCTTCTCTTACTGAGCTGTTAGTGGCCCCCTTTCAGAGAGACCTACCCCGAGCCCTGAGCCAAGGGTCTGGCCTGTTGATTTAACCCTATGTCTTTCCCCCAGCTCTTGCCATATCTTTTATCAAAACTTGCTCTGACTGTATCTCATGCTGAGGCTAGACACATGAGAAAGTAGATCTCAGCCCTCAGAACCAGAACTCACCTTGTGCCTCATAGCCAGCCAGATCCGGCTTCTCTGCCGCTGCTGGGCTCGTCAGGCGACCCAGTGCCAGCTGCAGCTGAGCAATATTCATGCGGGCTGTGAGCTCTCCATTTCGGTCTCCAATCTGAAGCAAGCAGGAGTGGGTAGATGGGTGGGTGAGGCTTAGGATTGTGCTCTCCATCTTAGTAATGGGGCTCTAGCATACCGTTCTCGACCTGCTGGACAGCCTGGGCTGACCTCAGTCCTTTGGATTTCTGAGATAGCCAGTCTCCATTACTACCAGAAAGTTGATGCTCAGGGTCTATTCCTAGGTGTCTGGACAGCCTTGATTCCATCCCAGAAGTGCTCAGGGTCTTGGGAAACCTCCTGTGAGTGGTCAGCTTGGCATTGTCTTGGGCTCTGCCTGTCTCAACTGTAGGGGCCTGTCTTCTCTTAGGCTCCACCGGCCTCAGGATCCCAGTACTGAGGCTCCACCAGTGGGACCCTCCTGAGTACAAGTCCAACATGAGGATCATAAGAAGCCATGAGACCCCTGCCTGCACCCATGGGGATGTGGAGGAGCTAGTCACCTGTGGAAGGATCTTTAGGAAGTGTCTCTTCTCTAGACCATCCTGTCCTCCACCTGAACCTGGCTGCCCATGAAGCTCTTTCTGATGCTCTAAGCGCTTGATGTCCACCCTTAGTTAGGGGGGCCAGGATGTCCCTGCACTGTCCATAGTAGGATGGGAATGAACAAATGGGTGGGAAGACTCAGCTTCCTAGGGAGGTGTCTCTAGGAAGTATCCCTAGGCAATAGAACCCGCCTCCCTGGTCCAACTCCAAGAGGTTACTCCCAACATCCTCATAACCCAATATGGCCCAGTTCCATCAGGGTTGGAAGAATCCACACAGGGGACACCAGCATTCTAAGAGTAGAAAACAGGTCCTTGCTTTCCTATAGACCCACTGACCCTTATACACAGATGATGTGGAGACTGTGACTTTAGGGACCCAGTGTTCAGAAAGGCCAGTGTGAACAGCCCAAGAAGGAGATGATGAGCTGCTGGCAGGCTAGGGGAGTGGCTAGCAGAGGCCTAGGGGAGTGGGCATGGCTTACCTCCTGGGAGATCTGCAGGTGCTTCTTGGCAAAGGTTAAGGCCTGTGCCGGGCTCCCCATGGACACATAGGCATTCCCCAGGCTCCAGCACGCCCGGCCCTCTCCCACCCTGTGGAAGGTTAGACAATCACACCTGCCTCCCAAGACTGCCTGCTGCCCCAACTCCCTGACCCTCTCCCAATCCTGGTACATAGGTATCAATAACACAGTCTCCTCAGCCAAAGGGGCCCAATGGCCCTTGCCATGGCGCTCACTGTTCCATCTCCTTTAGGGAGAAGTGCCAGCCAGCTGCACTTTCGTTTTTTTCTGGTTGAAAGAGTTAACTCGATAAATCAGAGTATCTTACCAGCTTACCCCGGGGCCAGTTGATGCTTCCATAGGGCCCTCAGGGCCCAGGGCTTGGGTACTGTTGCTCAAGGCCTGGCTCGCCCCCTAGTGGCCAGTAAGGTAATCTCTCCTGCGGCTTGCTGCGTGCTCCCACACCAGGTACAAAGAGCCATGCAATCAGGGACATTTAGCTGCTATACATTGCTATACAGCCACTATCTCTCCCTAGTTCCAGGACACTTTCATTTCATGCTCTTCCCACAGAAGCCCTGGGGACAGAGCAGCTCTTGAGGATAACCCTCTATCATAGCTGCTCCCAGGTCCGTGGCTCTGAGACCCAGCTACAGCAGATCTGCATGGAAGATTCCAGAGTTGGAGGCCACAAGATTTATGTTGCTACGAGGAGAGAGATGCCAGTCTGAGGGATGGAAAAGCAGGACCCCCGGTCTTGCCAAGGTCCCTTCGAGCTTTGAACCTACCTATTTGCTTAAATTGTTTCCCCCTGAGGGATGGGCTGAGGGCCCAGGAGGGAGGCTGCTCTGACCATGCTGTGGTCGGCAGGGGAAGCAGCTACTCATACCCGGGCTGTCACCGCAAGCCAGTCCCGGCCAAGGCCTTGTTCCCACACACCTATCAGCCAGCTCCTGGGCAATGACCAGGTGCCGCAGGTGGTACTCAGCAGCGCGCTCGTAGTCCTGCAGCAGTGTGTACGTGTTGCCCAGGCTGTAACAAGCCTGCGCTTCCACTGCCTGGTCCCGGAGCTGCCGAGACAGCTGCAGCGTCTTCCTGTGCAGAAGGGGAGAGTCAGTCCCTGAGGGGGGTAGAACTGTCTCCTCAGGAACGCAGCCACAGCACTTGACCCACAGCACCAGATGCATGTGGGCACATGAGCTCCCGCTGGCTAAGGAGCTGGTAGGCCACTCACCACTCTGAGCTGATGATACTCTACAGGGGATGTCCACAGCCCAGAACTGTGAGATGGGCATGTAGGCCCCACAAGAGGCCTGGTCAGCTTCATCTAGTGGCCACCCCTCTACCCAGGAAGCAGCTGACTGAGAACTGGCACACAGGTTGGGGATACCCACAAGCTTCTGCCTTTTTCAGGACAGCCAGAGTCCCCACCCGGCTCCCAGGAATGTAACTCGGGAGGGGCATCTCTGCAGCCTGGTGCTCAGTGCACCCCAAGACTGTCCTATGGGATGGGCACATCTGTGTGGCCTGGTGACTAGTGCACCCAAGGGCCATCTTCCCTGCTTACTTGTAATGTTCAGCAGCCACATCAAAGCGCCCTAAGAAGATGTGGGCATTGCCCAAGTTGCTGTATGCTCTCCTCTCAGCTGCCTTGTCTCCAAACTCCTTGGCGATGGCCAGGCGCTGCAGACAGACCAAAGCCCAGCGGTCACCACATAGCACTGGAACCCTAGGAACACAGCGATGCCTCCCTGCCCGAGGTGCTGGTTGGATGTCAAGTGGCCCGGGGAGCAGGCAGGAACCACAGGACCAAATACAATATGAGCTTGGGATCAGTGGGGCACTTCAGCTGCCCTGCTATTAAGCATTTGGAGGGGTGACCCTGACTAAGCCTTCCTCTTATAGCATAACCCAGAACCCAGACCCAGCTCACCTCTTTGTGGAAGGTTGTAGCCTCAGTGAAGTTTCCCAGCAGGTAGTGGGTGTTACCCAGGTTGCCATAGGCCCTGCCCTGGGCCGCCCGATCGCCGAGTTCCTTCACCAAGGACAGGTTCCTCCTAGGGGGTCAAGTGTTTCTGAGCTGTGTTCTTTCTAGCACCAGGAAAGTGGCTACTTTTGCCTCCTCCTGAGTCTGGAAAGCACTGAGAGGCTCTCCCAGGAGTAAGCCATGAATCCAGGGTGGCTTGGAATGGGTTCTTTGGCTCACATGATATGTGAGCCTCATGATGTGAGCCTCATGGCTGGAAGTCTGGTCAAAACTCACCAGTCTTTGATGCATTTGTGGGAGGGGAAGGGTAGCCCTAAAGCAGTAGGGCTGAATGTACGTGAGGGTGTTTTGTGTCTGGGGATATTGCCCACCCCCCTACCTGGCACACGTTGACTCAAGTTTACAGCATGCAGAGGCATTCAGACAAGCTCCAGGCCCATCAGTCCTCACCCTGTGGCGCCAGACCCCCCCCCCACTCACTCACTCATAGAACTCAGAGGCCCTGTGCAGCGTCTCACGGACATCAGGTGGCAGGTGCCCAGGGTCCTGTGCGGCATTCCAGGACAGCTGCTTGCCCTTGGCATGGTACACATTTCCAATGTTGTAGAGTGCTCTTGCCTCCCCAACCTGTGGGCAGCAGTGAGCTATGGGGGCAGGCTCTACAGTCCCCCAGGGAACTCAACCCAAGGTGTACTTGGAGGAACTGTGTTCTAGTCCCACTGAGGAAGGGCACTCCCACTTCTACCTCCGCCACGCCCAGTGCTCTGTCAGCTAACGTTTGAAAGTAAAAGGCCCATCAGGGATGGAAAGGGCAGAGGATCCAAGGGCCCAACCACCCACCTTGTCCCCCTGCTCCTGGGCAATGTCCAAGTGTCGCTGGCAGCAGACGATTGCCTCATCAAACCGGCCTAGGACCTTGAGTGTGTTGCCGAGGTTCCCACTGGCCTTGGCCTCTCCCATGCGGTCACCAATGGTCCTGGAGGGCAGGAAGGAATAAGGAGCCAGTCAGGTTGGGCCCTGAGCTGAGCAAGGAGCAAAGAAGCCTCAGAGAAGGAGAGGCTATGGAGAGTTAGCTCCTCACACTGGTGAACCACTGGTACCAGATCTGGACTGAGCGCTGAGGACAGGATGGGGGAGAGGCTCTGGTGTGTGGGTTACCAGCATAGGCAGGGCTGGAGAATTCTGGCCCCCATCTAGGAAGTCAAAGTAGCTTTGAGGCCTCAATAAGGAGCTGGGTTCGTTGACTATAGAACAAAGGAAAGGCCCTGTAGGATGTAACAAAAACTAAGAGTCAAAGGCTAAACAAGCCTGGAGACAGCGGGATAGAACTCTGGAATGCTGGGAAATTTGAGAAGGGCACGGGCAGGAGGGAGACCATAAACCTTCAAGGAAGAGCAGGGAGTTCCTGGAGTTAAGACCACACCTTACAGAGAAGATGGTAAGAGTAAGCCTTAACCCAAGATCCCAGAAAAGAAACAGCTCTGGGTGGTAGAGACAGTCTTAGGGAGAGTGAGTCACAGCAGGCCAGACAGAACTCATGTTCACGTACACAGGTGCACACACATGCAGGAGCACACATGCACACACTTCCACACACATATCTTAACTTTAACACTGACCTCTAACAGGTCCACAGATCCCACTCCAAGGCCAGGACCCCCTTCTAGGCTTTCCAGGCTCTGACATACCTGTCCCTTCCAACCTCTCCAAGGGCAGGGCGCCAGACCAATGCCATCAGGCCACAACCCACCAGTACTTACCGTGCCAGCAGCAGGTCATGTTTGTGGAACTGCAGAGCCCGGGCATACTCCTTCAGGTAAAAGTAGGCATTGCCCAGCTGGCTATAGATGGCACTCAATGTCTTCAGGTCCTCCGTGCCCACCTGCACAGCAGCCTCAAAGAAGGCCACTCCTGCCTTGAAATCCCCTGCCTTGCACAGCCGCTCGCCTTCCAGTGCCAGCTCCAGACAGGAGGCCTCCATCCTGCGCAGAGAAGACGTATCATGACCCACCCGTTGGGACCCTCTTGGTCCCTCAGCAGCTGTAGCCCACATCACAGCTGTGTTCACAGATATGCCTGCTGGAAATCATGCCTCAGAACAGATACTAAACCCAACACTGCCCTAGCTATGAGTCTGACCTTTGCCCCTTCCTCTGTTTTCTTTTTGTTTTTTTCAAGACAGGGTTTTTCTGTGTGGCCCTGACTGTCCTGGAACTCACTCTGTAGACCAGGCTGGCCTCAAACTCAGAGATTCTCCTGTCTCTGCTTCCTGAGTACTGGGATTAAAGGCTTGTGCCACCATTGCCCAGCAATTCCTACCTTAATATCTGTCCCTTACCAGCAGAGACCAGGAGCAGCCATGGTCTAAAGGTTTCATATATAGGGCTCTAAGATCCTCAGGCTATGGTGAAAAGTGCAAATGTCCTTGTGGGAAGTCCCAATCTCAGGCCCTAAACATGACCCCCACACCACAGTCCCTAGCCTATGCTGCTCCTGTGCTCCACGCCTGGGGACTTGAATAAGCAACTGTTTTGTTTCAGACCAACTTGTCACTTTTCTCTTCACTGTTTGACTCAGGGTCTCTCTATTCTCCCCAGTCCCAAATAACACTCTTGCTTTGACCTTCCCAGAAGCTAGAGTAACAGGCATATAGCATTGGGCTTAGCTCTGATTGAGTCCTTTTTTTTTTGGTGTGGGGGTGTTCAAGATAGGGTTTTTTTGGGTAGCCTTGGCTGTCTTAGACTTGCTTTGTAGACCAGGCTGTCCTAGAACTCACAGAGATACGACTGCCTCTGCCTCCCTGAGTGCTGGGATTACAAGTGTGCACCACTGGGCCCAGCTCTGACTGAATACTTTTAAAGCCAACATCAAGTGCCCAAGATGCTGACCCATCCTCTGTGTCATGAGAATCAATCAACAACCCAGAGCAATGCGGGGAAGGGTGAAAATCAAGGACAGAGATGCTAAGCATTTTAACCAAAGGTTCTTTGTCACAAAGTGCAGAGCCATGTCCTCTGTATTCTGTGTTATCAATGGGGCACTCTGAACTTTTTCAAGATAAGAGCTCCACATGAATAGATGATGGAGTCAACAAACCCCTGAGAAGCTGGACAAGTGTCTGTATCCCTGGGCCCAGAGCACTGTGCTGGGGCAAGTCCCACCCTCCCTGTGTCCAGGTGCCCACATGGCCAGCACCCTGGTAACCAGGCCATGATGTACAATCCCCTTGGAATCTCCCAAGCCTGCAGCACCGGTGACTTCTTTTCTGCAGTACAGCCACCACTCAAAAGGTCCCTGATTTTCCAGAAGCCAACCACTGGCTGCCCTGTCCTTCTCTTCTGACACCATAAGATCAGGTGCCAAGAAATTGTGATGCCTGCCTCCACTGGCATGGAACACAAATTCTCAGGATAGGTGGGCAGAAGCCTTTCTCCTGCCTCTCAGGCTTCTGGTATCTGCTGCCATGCTGCAGTCTGGGCTCGTCTTGCTAGGGCACCTCTGGCTGTTACCCAGTCAGCTTGCTAGCTGGGACCGATTCAGTGCAGTATCATTCTCTGGGTCTGTTTGCCATAGGGAGGCTGTGGAGGCCTGCCCCTTCTAGACACACAGTTCAGACATTCCCAGCCCAGACTGAGGCCCAGGCAAAATGGTATCTGAAGGGTCCTCGGTCAGATGCTGTTAAACAGCAGTATGATCACAGAGAGAGGTATGCAGGACATTGGAAACACACTTGGCACCAGGGAAAAAGGGTTTCTTGCAGGACTTGCTCAGGGATTCCCTCCACTTCTGTTTCCTCCAGAGACCAGCAGAGCCACATGGTCTCTCAAGGGTGAGGGCAAGGCATGTGAACTTAAGACCAGGAAGCCAGGCCCTTGGGCTATCCTCTTACCCTGTTATGCCAAGAACTCCCATCCATATCTGCTGGACTCCCAGACAGCCACCTTACCAAGCCCTCTGGGAAAGGCCATCAGAGCCACGTTGGCCACAACAGCCATGGTTTCTGGGGCAACCAGCCACAAGACATCTTTTCTCCTGTGGCCAGTGCCAAGTTCTGGTTTCTTAATTAAGGCCTATCTGTTCCTGCCCCATGTGGTTGCTGAGCAGCCAGATATGGCTCAGCTTTACCGTCCTTCTAGAAGACTGCACAGGAGGGTCTGCTACATGGAGGTACTGCTGATTAGGGGAACTGCTATTCCACCCTGTCCTCCTAGTCCAAATATTTGGCACCCAGACAGCAAAGGTTTGGGAGAGGTGTTGGGCAAAGGCCATGGAGAATATGCCAGAAGGGGCATCAGTGTGGTTCCTCAGTACCAGACGGGGAATTGCCAGGACACAAAGAGACTTTCCCAAGACATTCTTGAATTGTGCCAGGCACCCATCACCTGTCACCTGCCCAACTAGCACCTTTTTCTCTGCAGGTTCCTATCCCTCCCTGACTCCAAGACACTCCCAGATCACTCCTGGACCCACCCAGGCACCCAGCCTCATAGCCTGATACCTGACTGGTCCCTACCTCTTTCTCTGCAGGTTCCGCATCTTCTGCACATACAGCCACAGCTCCAGGCCCACAGGCAGCAGCAATGGACGAGGGCGAGGGGCACCATATACTACCTTGCATACAGCCTTCTCTGCCAAGCTCAGGGCCAGAGGCTGGCCTTCCATGGCAGTGGCCAGCATCACAGAGCTCTGGCTACAGTCCCAGGGGATGTGCCAATCTCAGAATCTTAAGGCTGGTCTACACGAGACCCCAAGCTCTCCAAAGGCAGCTCCCTCCTTCCTGGGGTATGACATGGATCAAGGGATCAAGGGCGGCTCAGGCTGGATGGATGAGCACTGATGGCAGAGGGGGTGGGGGAGAGCCTAAGATAATCCTCTGCTGCCCTTCTATCCTCCTTGGGGCCTGGGCAGGAAGCATGGAACCAATCCCTTGGCAAACTTTCATGCAGCAGACCCAGAACCCAGGGACTTTAGGAGCACTAGGGCTGTAGGTAGCAGGTGCTGGCAACATTAGTGGTGAAAGAAGGATAGGTATAGGGCATAAGGACCTCCCAATCCAGCTCTACTCCCCACCTGGTGCTGACAGAGGCAGGCACAAAGCCAGAATCCCACCTGGAATACCAGCCAGGAGGGACTGTCCCACGGCTGACAAAGCTAGGAGTCTGACAACATCGGTACTTGGCCTCTTCATTCCAGGCCCTGGTGTTTGGCCTGCCCAGGATACTGGCACAGGCGACAGAACTGACTTGGAACACAGAGTCCTCTTCACCCTGCAGGACTCTTGCTCATTGCTACCCTCGCCCAGCTCTTCAAGGTAAGCTCCAGATCCCGGGTCTAACCAGGGTTCAGTCCCACATAGGGTCTGCAGAGGCTGACCCCAGAGCAGTTGGGCTTTACCTCTAGCTTCTAAGGTCCCAGTTACCTTCTTAGCCCTTTCAGGGCAAAGGGAGGAGCCCCAGGAGTAGAGGGGAGCTACCAATGTCCGCCGATAAGCAGAGGACCTCAAGATCAGTGCCTGAGGGTAGTACACTGGCGGCCTCTCATAGGCCTTCCCCTAGACCTGTCCACTTCAAGGGTTACTTGAACTCTTACCCTGGAGGCTCAAGATCAAGATCATCTGGGGTTTGGAGCTTAGTGTCTCCCGTTGGCCACACCACCTCAATCCTGGAATAGAGCAACTTCTTGCCTGGGACTTGTCACCTGGCTAGACAGACCTATTGCTGAACAGGTAAATAGCAATCCTTCACTTTTTTAAAGAGGAAGGCACTGCGCACCCCAGCTGACACACCCTCGCACTGGTAGCCAAGTCACCTATTGAGCCACTATGAAAGAATCACAGCCATGTGCTGCTTCCCTTAAAGATGCTAAGAACACAAGATGACAGTAACCAGGACCCAGTCACCTAAGCAGTGACTGACTCCCTAATGGCCAGCCACATCTCATCTGCCTGTCCCCTTAGGACTCCCAGTGTCCTCTGGTACCCACAACCAGCTGGCTCTTTAGCACTCTGGTTCTAGCTACCCAAATTTCTGCCTGCCTCCTCTTCTGCAGAGCAGTCACCTGGCACTGGTTCCTGGACAAAGGCTTGAGATCCGTGCTTTCAGCTATCCCAGATCCCTCCTGTTCAGCATCTCATAGAAGAAAGTGACACTGGCATTACCTCAACAACCAGGGAAAGTGGGAGACAGAAAGAGGTAGGAAGGCTGGGAGGGTGCATGGCAGGAACAGGACACTGCTGGAAGGGAGGGGATACCTCAGCTTCAGGAAGGTCCGAAGGGTTTGCAGGGATACCTGGGGAATGGTCCCATCTGAGACAGTGCTGAGGAGAGGACACAGAAAGGTGGTAGTGTAGGGGACCAGCATTGTTTGACCATGCAGCCACAGAGGCCTTGCCATACTGAGGGTGCCATGCCTAGCCACCAGTGGCCCCTAACCCAGGCAAACCTCTTGTAAGGCTACCCCAATGTGGGCTCCCCTGCTTACCCTCCTTTCCCAGCCTCACTCAGCACTTAGCCTCTTTGCTCCTGGGGCTGGAAAGCTAGAAGAGGACATATAAGTACTTCCTGGCTACTTGTTCATCTCTTTGGGGCCCTCTATCCCAAGCCCCTGTTCTGGCCCCAGTGCCAGCAGGTATTCTCAATGGAGACCCTCTCCACTCTACCCATGGCTCCCAGTGTTCCTGCTTCCCTGAGCCAGTTCCTCTGTCTACTCCATGAGGACCCATTTGTGGCTCTTCTCAACCCTCAACCCCATTTTACAAGTATCAAACCCTCTCAGTCAGATGTCAGTGAGAATGGGGCTGCTCCTGGGAGGGTGGATGGGACAGAGAATGTCTCCCACAAAGACATCCTGTTTCAGCCCAGAACAGCCACAGGAGCTGAATACAGTTCCCCTAGGCACCCATGTATCCAAGCAGATACAGTCCTCGGCTCCCATGCCAATATGTAAGCGTCCCTGGACATACTGGGGTTTATAAGGAGACAGACAGGCTTAGATTTCTTAGTTTTAGTTCCAGGGGCCACAGGTTGCTGATGAGACCTTTCTTCTCTGAACCCTCTCTAAAACCTGTTCAAAACGCATCAGGTACTTCACATCTGCCTAGCCTATCAAAGCCAGGGACTGGCTGTCTAGGCCTGGCTGTGACTCCTTAGATGGAGAACAAATAGCTCATGGGCCTCCTGGAAGGCCCTGTGTGAAGACTCTTGGCTGCTCAGCTTAAATCGGGTCCCAGCTCAACCTTCTGGGCTCAGCTTGGGTTTCAGCCTGGAGGGATGCCAGGGTGAACTCAGGGCCTCAACCAGTATCCTGAATATTGTCCCTAACCAGTCTTCAGGGCCGGAGTTCTGCATAGTGCCCACCTCAAGGGAGACCTGTGGGCACTGACACAGCTTGGAGACCTGTGCTCTGAAATATCCACCTCCCTCTCTTATACACAGACATGCACACACACACACAGCAAGCTGCCTGGGAGACACCTTCTCACAGGTGGCTAGCTTTTAGGTACATGTGACCCTGCACAGTCTCCACTCCCAGGGGACTTTGGGAAGAAGCTGCCAGGAAACCTCTTAGCCCTGCACCAGTATGCGGAGGCAGACTGTAGGGCTCAGGAGTGATCTCCAACACCACACAATAGGGACACTGTCTCTGAGCTGAAGTAGAGTAGAAGGGGAGAGCAAGGTCTCTTTTCACCAGCCATCAAGCTCTCATTTTGCTCTTTGGAGGTACTAGGCAGAGCTTGGCTAGCTGATGAACCACCTCACTTGGGACAGATTTCTTTAGGGTCAGCCCCTTGCAGGGAGGCCCCAGATTTGGCGTTTAGGAAAGGTGAGAGTCAGAAGCTCACTGCAGAGTGCTAGGCCTTCCTCTAGGGCTGGTGGCAGTCTGCAGCCTGCCCAGCACTCGGACCCTTCCAGCGCAACCTGAGGCCAGCGTGAACTGGCAGCACCCGGTCCACTTCTGGGGCCAGCACCTTACTGGGAAACACCTCATCAAGCGGGAGTCACCAAGGAGGCATGCAGCCAGGGGCAGGGCTACCCTGTCATCCCCAGTAGGCGTGGACACACAGCACAGACCGCTGGATCACCTGTGAACCTGCCTGGAAGGCAAGTGCCTTTGTAGGGAGGCACACACCCACCTGCCTGGCCCAGGCCCAGCTCCTGCTGGCCTGGGGCTGGGGACAGCTAATGATGGCAGGGCCCCATCATGACAGCATGCCTGGGTCGTGGCCACGCACCGGGTCATGACAGTGTCGGGCCTGAGAGGGCAAAGAGCCCTGACATCCAGGCTACTCAGGGGCCCACAGAGCCTGGTGGAAGGCTGCCCATCTCATAAGGCCCTCTGACATCACGACGGAGCTGCAAGCATAACCCAGCCCCCAGTCCCTCTGCCGCGGGGCCGATGTTTGGGCCCCGTACCATTACCGCTCCCTGCGCAGATGCAGGGAGGCGCGTCCCCGGCCACGTTGCGCGCCGCCGCAGCCTTTGTTCTGGGCCGGCAGCCTCCCGCCCACGCCCGCCGCTCCGGTCCTCGTCCCCATCCCGGTCTTTGAACTACCTGGAGTAGAGGCGCCTGGCGGCTGGGCCCGGGAGCTCGTCGGCCGCGGGCGGGGCCGGGCTCGCCATGAGTCGGGGACGCGCCGAGCAGGAGCACCGCCCCGCGCTGCGGCCGTCCGCCCGCCGATCTACCCGCCTGTCCGCCTGTCCGCGCAAGACGCCGAGGAAGTGATGTGCTGGGGTGCCGCCGCCCCTCCCGCCAGAGCCGTGATGTCACCGCCGCCAGGCGGAGAGAGGGTGGGGAGGGGCAGGCGCCCACCGGCCACCACTGCGGCAGTCCCGCCTTCCACGGGGTGGGCGGGGCTCCCGCCCTGTCTTTGAGGTCCAGTGCAGCAAGAGTCCTGGTTTAGTCTGGACAGCCAGTGCTGGGTGCTCTTTTCTTTGGGGGAAGATCTGCTAAGCCTCTGGAGTTCAGTGCTGCGATGTTGTACCTCCTTTCTTACACACACCAGAGCCTGCACTCTGGCTTGGGCTGTTGAAATCTCTTTGCCTTTGCTGTCACCCATCCCCCACCCCACCCACCCCGTTCCTTTCCTGTCACCTCTTGTGGGATACAGGCCATGAAGATGCACGCAGGGCTAAGGAGAATACAGGTCTTCCAGGCTGGGGTTTGGGGGGGGGGGATGCTGTGGGGCTCTGGGCAAGTCTCTGCCTTCCTAGGGCTTTCACCGTCAGACTTCCTGTTGTCAGACTGCATGTTGTCACTACCTGTGAAATGGACGTGTTTGAAAAGCAGAACATCAGGGGTCCACCTGGGAGATTGGTGGTACTCAGTCATCTGCCTATCCTCTGAATTCTCCCAGGACCCTGAGGATCTGGACCCCTGAGTGATCTTTCTTTATCTATGTAGCTTTGGCACCTTCACCCCAGCCAACCCCCAACCAGCACTAGGGCACCCTCTGGACACACCGAAGGCCTCAAGACAGCCAGCCCAACTGGGACTCACCTAGCACTCTACTCCCCTCTCCAGTCCTGTCCCAATCTTCTTAGAAAAGTAGCTGTGGCCTCTGTGTGACAGGGACGAGTGAAGGTGCAGACAGTGGCGATGTCTTTGGCAGTTTTTCTGCATCCCTGGCCCCTGGCCTGAATCTGGACACCATGCCAAGGTCACCCTAGACAGACCCTGCAGACGCAGCCCACAGTACAGTGGCTTTGGGCAAAGAGAAATGGCAACAAAAACAAACACAAGATAAAACGGGTCTGTTGGCCCTGAGCTAGTTTGTTTTCCTAGGGAAGAGCAGGAGCAGCAATGAGAACCATCTGTGCCTGGGGCGAGGCAGTTCAGCCTTGCTGCTGTCTCCACGCCTCCCCCAAGCCCACAGGAGCCAGGTCTTGCTCTCACTTGGCTGAAGTCTCAGGAACCGGTCCCTAGCAGAGGGCTCTGGACCACAGGCACTTCCTGGTTGCCCCCAAAGGGCACAACACTCGGTGTCAGATTGAGCCCGGATTTTCTGGCCCTGGCTTTAGGAGGCCCTTAGAGACTTACTTCAGCCATACAAGCCCCTGCGAGCTCCCAGCTTTGCCAGCAACCAAACCACAAAGCCCCAAATGTGGTTTTACAGGGTTCTGGAGTTGGGGGATGCGGTTTCAGAGGATTCAGGTTCTGTGCCAGGCCTCAGCTGGGAGACTACCTCTGTCTCCTCTGACCAGGTACAAGCTTTCTCCAAGCTTCTGTTCTATCACCCAAAGGGACCAACCTGGGCTACAGAAGGGTCTGTGAGGGTGGGGCCTGGGTAGTGCACAATGAGGACTGTGGTGTCAGAAGACCCTGGGGAGCTGGAGTCATTCCTGGCACACACTGCACCACACAGGCAGGGGGCCTCTTCAGGTGAAATGTGATAAGGGTAGGCATGGGGAAATAGGCTCAACATAGGGGACACTTGAGGGAAAGGGCAAAATGGGCCTAGGGGAGGAAGGACCCTTGGGATATCAACCCATATCTTTTGTTTGCCTCCTGCTAGCTCTGATCACACACACTCATACACACACACACACACACACACATTCACACTCACACCCTGACTCTGTTCAGCCTAAACAAGGGCTCCTTCCTCTCCCCCCTGCTCCTGGCGCAGCTCCCCTGCCTGTGTACAGCAAGGAATCTGGTTAGCCGCCACCTGTTAAAGTCTGGAGCAGCTGAATGGAGAATCCTGCCTCGTCCCTAGTGGTTGTATTTTCTCCTTATGGAACAGTTGAGGGAAGAAAAGATCTCCCAGGTGGGAATAACCACTAGCTGTGGCACTGATGCTGAGTGAGGGTGGATCATAGCTGGCTTCACCACCACCCTGGGGCAGGTGAGTGCCAAGGGGTTCATGCCAGCTCCAGTCATCCTCACACCACATCACTAGATAACTTCCAGTGGTCACCTACATGTGCCTGCTGTGGTCACCTGATGGTCTGTGGCATGCACAGGTGGCAGTAGTGACTCACTCTAGGTCATCGCCTGGGCTGTGGGGACACAAAGCAAAGCTTAGGTTTCCCAAGCCTAAACTTCACCGTGTCCTGGCCTGTCACCTGGGTCAGGAGTGGATTAGAATACCCCTGTGATGGGCATCTAGACCCTGTCTTCCACCTGATGTCTCTTCAGGTCCCCCCCTCTCCACCGCCAGCTGATTTTGCAGGGTCTTAGGGGGGTGCAGGGATGTGATCATCACAGAGGCCACTGGCTGTGCCATCAAGTCCAGCTCTGAGGACAAGGGCACCTGGCTAGCTTCTGCCAAGAATTCCAAACTGGTGTGCAAGAGAGAAAGATGGGAAAACAGAGGGAGAGGAGAGAGGAGACATTCTGGAGGGAAGGGGATAGAGCCAAACACACCTGTAAGAACCTGCACTCAGTTTTACCCTGGTCTCCAAATGAGTTCACTGGTCTGCGAAAAGGCTTGTTTTAAATGTAGGTGTGAGTTCCTCTCTGTCATCCTGATCAAACACACCCTCTGTGACAGAATCATCCACTGCTGTTCCCTGGGGGGCTTCAAAACCTTGGTGAGCAGAGTGGCAAGTAGAAGAATGGATCTTATGTTACCTCCCGGTCGGAGCTAAGAGGGAAACAGTCTGCCCCACCCACAAGATCTGCGGGAATCTGACATACACACAGACACACACAGGAAAGCAGCTCCAAGTCCACGTAAGGCTGAGTGCCGCTGTCAGCATGAGACGCCTAGTCACACAGCATTCCTGGAGCACTCCCTGGCTGTTGCAGGCATTGTCACCCAGCTCGTCCCTGGGGCCTGCAGGAGCAGGTGGAGCACACAGGAAGTGGTCACGAACTCCTTCATTGTTTGTGGGTCTTGTCCTGCTTCTGGTGCATCTGTGTCTGAGTGAGCCTCACAGGCAAGTGACCAGAGAGTTTGAGGGAGTGACACACAGGAACACACTGACCAGGGCCTGTAGGCTCGTGGCTCAGGGGTTGCTTCAGATCCTCCTGGCTTTGGCTATGGAGTGGGAAAGACTTGACAGGTGCCTAGACCCAGCAGAGTAGGACAGTGCATTGCTCTCCCTGGACAGTCTCTCCGCAGCAACAGAGCGCAGTAGGTTCTTCCCTTTTACAGGTTCCAAATCCCCAGGCTAGGAGTGATGGAGTGTAGACTTGAAACTCACTAGAGATGGGATATATAATGGATCTTCATACATATGGCTCTCCACTAACACACCACCCAGCTCTTCCTCTGACCTCCCAGAATCTCGAGCTAGAGCACACTAGGATGGGAATGTTACGGATGCTGAGTAGTCATCAAATATAACCAGGACAAGGTGTGTGCCTCCATATGGTTGCCCCAGCGCTGGTACCGTCAAGGACCACAAACTTGGTAGCTTAAAACAGACTCTTATATCTCCACAGTGCTGGGGGTAGTGGCCAGCAGGACCTGCTCTCCACAATGTGTGCTTGCCCAGTGCAGCTCCTTCCAGGCACTCAGAGCAGAAGTTGTCTCCATCAGAAACAGTTTTGGTCTCAGCAGACATTCCTGGGTTTGTGGCCACACCCTTCCATGTGGCCTTCTCCTGGTATTTAGTGCCAGCCTAATCAGGTTGATCTTATCTAGAGATCTTTAATTACGTCTGCAAACACTTCTCCAAACAGATCACTTTCACAGTGGGGGGCAGGGTCTTCTGAGGTGGAAGGGACCACTCAGCCGCTGTAGCCCTTGTTTGCTCCCTTCACCTGCACTGGCTATTATAGAACTTGGGTCATGTAGCACCTTCCAGTATGAATCCCCCCCCACACACACACACACAGACACACTAAACTGTGATTTTTACCCACATTGGGACCAAATCAGTACAAACTGATTTGATAATATGAGGTGGAGCTGGAGGGGTGGCTCAGCACTTAAAAGAACTGGCTGCTCTTTCAGAGGACCTGGGTTCAGTTCTCAGCTCCCGCATGGCAGATCACAACCATTTATAACCTCAGTCCCATAGTATCCAATGCCTCCTTTTGGCCTGCATGGACAGCACACATATATGATGCAATGCATACATGCAGGCAAAACACCTATACACATAAAGTAAAAATAAAGGAAGAGATGCCAGGCGGTGGTGACACACACCTGTAATCCCAGCACTTGGGAGGCAGAAGCAGGCAGATCTCTGAGTTTGCAGCCAGCCTGGTCTACAGAGGGAGTTCCAGACAGACAGAGTTATACTGAGAAACCATCTTGAAAAACCAAAAATAAATGAAGGAAAGAAGGAAGGAAGGAAGAATGAAATGGGGCTTGTAGGATATGATTAAGTCAGGAGGGACTTCTCCCATCAATAGATTTAGCCTCCGCATCACAGCCTTCACCCTGCAAACACAGCAGGAAAGTGTCATGCTGGAAGCAGAGAGCAGCTCTCATCAGACAACTTAAGAGTCCACACCCTGAAGAACAGTAAGTAGATTCTGGTTGTCTGTAGATTGTACCGTCTGAGGCATTTTATTATAGCAGCTGAAGTGGACAAAGACCCAATCAGAGTAAACATAATAGGGCTAACTTTCCACTTCCTGTGGGCGCCATGCTGTGGTGGCACGCCAGACCCTAAGGGTGGATCTGAGGCTGGCTCGACTATGTGGGGGCAGAAGTGTACATTCCAGACGACAGCAGCTCCCGGCACAGGGCTGAACGCAGA